CCTGACAAAAATTGGCCCTCCGTTCTGTTTGGTTGTATTACTGCTCTAAACCCTAAACCCTAAACCCTAAACCCTAAACCCTAAACCCTAAACCCTAGACCCATCATGAAAGAAGATTTGGTGTGACCGAGAAGGGGCTCTCTGAACTTCAGTTCCTGTTCCGGCTGCCCTAAACGTAGGGCTCCGTAGTTCAAGAGGAACGCCCTACAAAGAGGCCCTAAACCCTAAACCCTAAACCCTAAACCCCAAACCCTAAACCCGAAACCCTAGACCAGGCGCAGAAGGGACTGAACCGCTGTGCGGAAGGCCGCGCTGAGCTTCTCCAGACGGCCCACGTTGCGCGTCTCGGCTGTGCTTTCTGGGATACAAAGTTCCCAAGTCCCTGAAAAAAATAGGGTTTAGGGTTTCAGGTTTAGGGTTTAGGGTTTAGGGTTTAGGGTTTAGGGTTTAGGGTTTAGGGTTTAGGGTTTAGGGTTTAGGGTTTAGGGTTTAGGGTTAGGGTTTAGGGTTTAGGGTTTCGAGCTTAGGGTATGGGGATTTCCGAAATGCGGGGGGTACCTTATTGTTGGGCTCCCTATTATAAGGGAATCCTGCTATTTGGGGTCTACGTTAAGGGTCCCTAATTTCGTAAACTCCCATATAAGGTTCCCCGAAGTTCCAGGTCCTCCGCAAACGTTCCTCGCACAATGAACTACTCCCTGAGACCCCAGCGTCTGCTCTCCTACTAACCAAGTGCCCCAGATCAAGCCCCGAAAATTAAACTTAGTTGTCCATTATCCTAGGAGAAGTAAAGGTGAACCGTTCGGATTGTATGGGGATTAGAATACCACGAAAGGTTGAAGCGTACATGCTCTGCTACAAAGTAAACCCTAAACCCCAAAACTTCAAGTTCCCTAAATCCTAAACTCTAAACCCTAAACCCTAAATCCTACACCCTAAACCCTAGAACCCCACGTTCTTTTTGCGAAGAGGATGCCGGGAGCTGCTCTGTCGCCAGCGATTCATCGAGGATCCTTGAAGTTTAGGGTCTAGGGTTTAGGGTTTAGGGTTTAGGGTTTAGGGTTTAGGGCTTAGGGCTTAGGGCTTAGGGTTGGGGGTTTAGGGTTTCTCCAGCGCCGCGCCTAAACCTGAAAGGTCGTGGCGGTGCGCTTTGCATCCACCCCAGACCTCCCACCTCTCAACCTCATCGAGTTCAGGGTTTCCTGTTTTGTCGTGTGCATACTCGCATCTGTTTAGTTGGTGGAGGCCCCCCACCCCCCACCGCAACAAGAGAAGCTGGGCGCCGCAATAATAAGACCATGGCAATGTATTGAGTCTCCACTCAAGACAATAGGAATGTATTGAAAACAATAGGAATGTATTGAATCTCTATGATTAAAACTGAATACTTTTCAGCAAAGTATTGATTATCTATGAAAAACAATAGGAATGTAGAGCCTGCCATGTTCTCTCAATGTGGTGGTATTTCCCCGTACGAAAACTCCCGTAATGGAAAGTAGTCTCGCAGCCGGATGTTCGACGAAAAACAGTCTTTACACGTGGGGTCGCGGTTTACTGGTTGCTGCATCGCGAAGCTCGATGGGATTTTGCGCGCTGCTGCCATGAAACTTGATACCACTGTCTGATAGAAATCGCGGTCGTAGTGCGCTGCCATTGCTGGCGGTAGCTCGAGAGGGTCCTAGGCGCTTTGTTCTGTTGTTCTGTTCTACAGCTCCTGCTCCATTTGAGCATCGAACGGGGTGCCTGAGATGAAGCCTTGAGCGTCGAGGCTTCTGAAGTGTCTCGGCTGTTTTTGCTGCTGCCAATGAATGGTGTCCGGCTTCGCTACATTGAGCGATTTCTGTCTACACCAAAAAACCATTCCCACTCGAGAGCCACAGTAGTGGGGATGCTAAGCCATTCAATGGAGATGCTTGTCATCTTGACATAGACCCATCCATTGCGATGCGGACCAAAGAATACACCTCCGGGTCCTGAGGGCAGTCAGCAGGACTCGTCCAGACATGATGATCCAGAAACAATATATGGCCCGAGCCTGCCGTCAACGCCAACCACACGTTGCGTCCACGACGGCCGCGGCAGTTGAAGCTCGCTTCAAGGACTGTGAAGCCAGCGACTTGTCTGATCACCCAGCTGCCGTGCAAATCAGTCAGCTTGTGGGCGGACGTCTTGAAAACAACACGCCTCTCGTGCAGCATATATGGATGGAGTGCTGTGCGCTGAGTGAATGATAGTATGTAAGTGTAAATATCCGGGGTGCTGTGCTCTGAGTGAACGCTAAACATCCAAATCCAGGCCTCAGCGAAGTCCTTGGAGCAGTGATAGCACACAGGTGAAGCATTTCACTTCTTCGTTGTGGGCCTCATGCACAAGGCGTTGATTGAGTGAGTGAGTGAGTGAGTGTAATGGCCCACAGACGTTACTGCGGCCGACACCAACTTCCCCCCCCGCATCGCAGAGCAGCTCCGTAGACGTCATCGCCGCTCTCCGCGAAGGGTTCGAGATGGCGAGTAAATAAATGCGACCAAGCTTCCTTAAGGGCACAGTGGCCCCGGAGCCAACGGGCTACAAGGCGTTGATTGAAACCAACTAGATTTCGTTACGACACGATGTTGCGATGGACGCGGGGCTGCGGCTCTCACCAGATCCTGTTGGCGCGGAATGCTTCGGCAGCCAGGGCGTAACTTCATTTCTTAGTCTAATGTCCTGCCTGCAAAGTGCTCGTAGGCGAACGTCCACTTCAGGAAGCTAATGGCAGCCATCGCTTCAGCGAGGCGCGTGATGAAGTATGGCTTCTGGGTTTTGAGCTGAAAGGGCTGCCTGGCACAGGTGGTCGATGTTCGTCATGTCATGCGACTGCAAGGAGCAAGCGTGCATTGACGTTTCTGCTTTCGCCTCTGCCGTGTGCGGGCATTGTCGCCTCATACGCCCTGAGAACAAGGGCGGAACTTATCTTGCGGGCTAAAGTCAAGGACATGTGTCTAAACAAAGGGCCAACGATTGGCCACGGGCTTGCAATCTGTCATGTGTGCTCTGCGCGAAGTTTTAAATGCGTCTGCAGGAAGCGCGCCTCCCAATTGCAATGGCATGTGTGAAAAAAGCGAACAGCTGAGTCGCTACTAGTTCTGCCGCAGCTTTTGCTGCTGCTTGGCTCGGCGTCTCATTTTGGCAAGAGCGTTGATCTGCTGGTCTTGAGCAATTGTGGAGATGTGCACGTTGGTTTCCCCCACGACCGCTTGGAGTGCTTCTCGGGGTCCACGTAGAATGGATGTCTGCCGCGATGCGATCTGCGAGGTTCACAGCAATGAGTCGCAGAGCTCCCCGATCCTCCAGTGGCTTTCTTCACCTCAAGCAGGGACTTGGGTCGGGAGTCATAATGCTCCATCATTCCCGCCACAGTGTGCCATTTTAGCGCACATTGTGGCGGGAATGCCACAGTCAGCGTTGCGTGTGTGTCAAAGCTTGAGCGCGAGAGATCCATCGGCCCGCCGAGTTTAAGAGAGAGCTGGCGACCGCGAGCTGACGGCACAAATCCATGAAACAGCATTCTTCTAAAGAAACACTTGCCACAGCTGAATGCGCTCCGCCCAAGCATTCAGGTTCTGGACTGCTGGATTTCTTCATAATAAGTCCAACTGGGTTTCGGGTTGCTTTACTGGACTCCAGGCTGCTGATTACCTCATACGAACTGGGCTTCGGTAAGTCGAACTAGGCTCTGGGATGCTGCATTTCCTCACGAGGTAGGTCGAACTTGCTTCCGTATTGGATTCTCTCACAACAAGTGGAATTGGGCTCGTGCTGCTGCACTCCTCAAATAGGTGGAGCTGGGCTCCGACTACTGGGTTCCCTCGTGCGGGCTGGAGCTGGGCTCTGGACTGCTGGGTTCTCTCATCTGCTGGGTTCTCTCATAATATAGGCTGTATTTCACGTTATCGGGCTCCTAATAGGTGGCGCTGGGTTCTAGACTGCTCAATTACCTCGTAAAAAGGCTCCGGGCTGTATTCCCTCATAATAGGTGGCGGACTGCTGAGTTCCCTCATAAGGGCTTCGGGCTGTATCCCCTCATTATAGGTGTTGCTGGGTTCCCTCGTACGGGCTGTATTCCCTCGTGATAGGTGGAGCTGGGCTCCGGACTGCTGGGTTCTCTCATAATAGGGCTCCAGGCTGTGTTCCATCATAATAAGTGGAGCTGGGCTCCGAACTGCACATGATTTTCTCCAGCTTGTAATCTTGATCTGAAGTGGCCGGACTGACACGTAGGGACTTCTCTGCTTGTTAATGTTAAATGTTTTATTGCGAGGCGCATGTGAAATTAGCAGTTAGCAGATCTCCCAAAGACATGTTTTCTTGCATGTCATCTCAAGCTGAGACAGGCTGACGTCGAGAATAGCTTGCTCAGAGGCATGTCGTCCTCGCTCATTTCTTGCGCAGCCTGCGCTTGAGGTGGATAGGTAGGAAACAACTATTCAGACGACGCAACTCGCTTTTCTTTTGGACCGAAGACGCCTGTCAGTCGATCTGTGCGCTGCACACTGTTTCTGCACAAACTGTTGGCAAGAGCCGACGCCTGGATGCAAGGAGGATGTTGATTCTTCGTGCTCTGGCTTCCGAAAGTATGTCTTCTCGTCGAGCTTGGCAGGGCGCGCGGCCGGTCACGCAGTTCTAATTTGATTTGAGTTTCAGGCTAGTTCTCGCCCGAGCTGGTCACTTTGCATGTAGAGCCCGTCGTTCTCAGAATCACTCAGGAAGACGTTTTCGCTGGACAGCCTACGCGATCGTGCGAAAGATACATGGCGAACAGCTGAAGGCTGGCGTTGCAGACATGCTGCTGGGCTCCGCGCCAATCTAGCTGGATTTTTGGATTGAATCGTCCGCGCAGAACATGGATTGTAGAGCCGTCCTGCAACGAAATTTGTCTACGAGCAAAATTGGGAGTGCTGTGTGATTGGGCGCTGAGGCCTCAAGTTGTCGTAGTGATTCCAGGGGTGCACCGCTCAAGCTTAGTTGGCAACTGCGCCATCTGAACAGGCGCCCGGCCTGCGCCTGACATTGCAGGATACGAGCCGGCTAGCCAGAATGCATGGAGTACTGTCTGACTTGGATCTTCCACGCCTTGCGCGCTAAGTACGTGATGCTCTTCTGTGTGTTGGCGGTCGAGCAATCATAGTCATGTATACTCACCAATTGCAATAACAGAAGCAGTAACAGTACACAACAACATCATTATGTATGAATTCGAATCTTGGACTCTGGATCTTGAATCCGGGCCTTCAAGAATCGTTTCTAAAGGCACAGAAAGAGGCCTCCAAAAGGCTCCAGCAGCAATCCTTGATCCCCAGTCCCAAGTCCCAAATCCCCACGAATCCTCAAGCCTGACTCCGAAATCCTAACCCCAAGTCCTAAACCCTAAACCCTAAACCCTAAAAGTTTAGGGTTTAGGGTTTAGGGTTTAGGGTTTAGGTTTTAGGGTTTAGGGTTTAGGTTTCAGGACCCTAAACCCTAAACGCTACATCCTCAATCCTGAATCCGACTCTAGAACTGAGATAGCTGGGACGATCCCCCTTGTTACAATCCCGCTTAAGGACGTAATAGGAGGGGTTTAGGGTTTAGGGTTTAGGGTTGAGGGGGTACTATAATCCCTATTCAGGAGTGCTAGGATGAGGGGGAACATCCCATGTTTAGGGTTCAGGGTTTAGGGTAGTTTAGGGTTTTAGGGTAGTTTAGGGTTTAGGGTTTAGGGTTTAGGGTTTAGGGTTTAGGGGTTAGGGGTTAGGGGTTAGGGTTTAGGGTTTAGGGTTTAGGGTTTAGGGTTTAGGGTTTAGGGTTTAGGGTTTATTAGGGTTTTATGGCTGCGGGTTGAGGACTTCCGGCATGGTCCCTCAATCCGAAGTTCCCACTGTGACGGGAAACCGGCACTCGGGCGTACTCGCGCGTACTCGGGCGTACACGGGCTGCAGTCGCGGAACGCGGCCGCAATAGAAGTTCCTAAACCCCTAAGCCCTATCCTGAATCCTAGGTTTCAGGGTTTCGGTGCAGGGTTTAGGGTTTAGGGTTTAGGGTTGAGGGTTGAGGGCTGAGGGTTTAGGGCAAAGTTTGGCCCCCCCTACAACTGGGAGCTTCAGGTAGGTGTTGAAGTTTGAATCGGGTTCCTCCCTGCCTCTCAAAACACCTTGCGTCCGGGTGTCTCTGTCAAGCTGGTCCAGATGTCAGTCAGGGACCACAGCCTCGGCTCTAGGGACTTAGGGTTTAGGGTTTAGGGTTTAGGGTTTAGGGTTTAGGGTTTAGGGTTTAGGGTTTAGGGTTTAGGGTTTAGGGTTTAGGGTTTAGGGTTTAGGGTTTAGGGTTTAGGGTTTAGGGTTTTCAACCCCCCAACACCCCAAACCCCTCTCAACCCCCTCAACCCCTTCAACCCCTCAAGCCCCCCAAACCCCCGCAGCCCCCCGCACCCCCCTCAACCCCCCACAACCCCTGCTCCCCGCTCAACTCCCTGCAACCCCCTAAAACCCCCCAACCCTACAACCCCCCTACATCCCCCTCAACCCCCTACAACCCCCTACAACCCCCTCAACCCCCTCAACCCCCTACAACCCCCTAACCGCCCCAACGCCCCTAAACCCCCTGAAACCCCCTACAACCCCCTCAACTCCGCCAGGGGGGCTTGGTGAAAATCTCCTGCGACGGCGGCGCCGGGATACCACTGGCTCTAGATCCCTGGAGCCTGAGGGAGAACGCGGGAGCGAACATCTCAGTAGGACTGCCCGAAAACCCAACAGAAACCGGTTAAAAACATCTCTAGCAGCCCCTGAAAAACAAACCTCAGCAAGCCCCAAGAGGTTGAAAAGGCCCGGAAACCCTACAGGGTAGCAAGCCTTAACCCTAACCCTGAACCCTCAACCCCAAGATCGCACGATTGTTATGATACTGCTGCCTTTTGAGTGCCAAGGGGTCGGAATGCCAAATACTCTCGATCGTACGAGAACAAAAACCCTAAACCCTAAAACCCTAAGACCCTGAGTGCAAGAGACCTCAAAAGACCCCGATCCTAGACCTTGAAACCCTAAACCCTAAACACTACACCCTAAACCCTAAACCCTAAACCCCAAACCCCAAACCCCAAACCCTAAACCCTGCGTAGGAGATCCCAAGGAGTGCCAAGACGCAGATGGTTCAGCTCCCTCGTGCTGGCGGGCATCAGCACAGCCAACTCCACCTTGCCTGCGGATGTCGAGGGCGCCAGGGCCGCTTGTGGGTTTAGGGTTTCGGGTTTGGGGTTTAGGCTTTTGGGGTTTAGGGTTTCGGGTTTAGGGTTTAGGGTTTAGGGTTTGGGGTTTAGGGTTTAGGGTTTAGGGTTTAGGGTTTAGGGTTTAGGAAACCACAAACCTCCCCCAAGTCACACTCTTCTGCCGATTCTGTGCTAAACTCTACACCCTAAGCCCTTAAGGGCGGATGCAGGGTGGTGATGTCGGCATCATGCATGTGGTGGCCAGAATAGCCAAGCTGCATGCTGAGGTGCAATATGAGAAAAAACACGTGACCTGCATCATGAGCCTTTATCAAGAAACTTGCAGCACCCCAAACACCAAACCCTAAACCCAAAACCCTGAACCCTAAAGCCTAAACCCTGAACCCTAAAGCCTAAACCCTAAACCCTAAACCCTAAACTTTAGGGGGGTTTAGGAAGCGAAGCTACTGCAGCAACCGCGCCTTGCTCGACAAATGACCCAGCCGCCACTTGCATGAACAGGCGATAGACCTCTGCAGGAGCTTGAGTTGGCATTCTACCAACCATTTGTTAAAGAAAGTTGCAGCAGCCTTACCCTAAACCCGAAACCCTAAACCCTAAACCCTAAACCCCAAACCCTAAACCCTAAACCCTAAACCCGAAGATGAGAAATGCTCCAGGCCAATGCAGCGACTAACCAGTTCCGACAGCACCCACTGGCGTGTTGCAACACCGTTGCTGCTACTATAATCGCAGCCTTAATAATTAGAATAGGGTTTTGGGGAGTAAAGGTATAATGATAGGAACCATGAGGGAATGATATTCGAAATTATTTCGACACCTATACTACCTTCACTGCTCATGCTGTCCGTTACTATCTTTGGCATCGAGGCCATGAGTCAGAGCACTGTCACGCGATGTGCGAAAAACAGAAAGCAGAGAGGTGAAGAAGGGTTTAGGGTTTAGGGTTTA